AAAATTAAATAAACCGAATGGTTTTTTATTGAGTTATTGAACTTTTATTTATTTTGTATTACTTGTAACAGCAAATATGCCTTCTATAAACTATAAATAAAAATTACTTTTAAAAACATACAAATATTCAAGCATAAAAATCGAATCTCAATGCATGGTGCGAAATAATATATTTTTTAAGAGTAATCACATCACTCCTTGACGTGAGAAAAAAAAAAAGAAGCGAAATTAAAGTTAGTGTCCAAAATTTTTGTCTTCAYTTTTAGTTCAATTAATTGCATAGGAGGTTTAACTCTCACCTTTTTACTGTAATAAAATTATTCATTATCAATTATGTCCAACCGATCAAGACATTTATTTTCAATCTAAGTGTCATGGGTTTGAATTCTATGAGAAAAACATATATATATATATATATATTATCCATCGAATTAAGTTATAATTGACTATTAACTCAGTTAATCACCAATCTAAAATAATTTAAACTCTCACTCGTGGTTATTAACATAAGTGTCAYATTAACTATGCAGGTTAATTTGTAATTTATAGTAAGATAAACCAACTACTTCTTATTTGAAGTCTTGATTAATTGAGTTTTTGTAGACTTTTTTTCCTAATTATTGGGTAGACTAGTTTATTTAAATTTGAGATAACTAAAAAAATCAAGCTACATTTTTTTAGTGTAAACATGGAGATGGAGATGGAGACGGAGACTCAAATTTACGATATTTTGATCAGAAATAGATATTTTAACCAGTTAAGATATGTTCAGATGACTACAATTTGTTTATGGTTACGTTAATCACACGTATATATATTTTGATAAATTACATAAATATATTAATTACGATATTGCTTCACTCATTAATTTGGGTGTAACTTCAAAGGTGTAAATGCTTGACCAATTATACAAGTTTTCGTAATAATTTTTTTTGTTAGTACACAAGTTTTCGTAATTAATATTGTTTTATACGTATATATTAAATATAGTATCATGGAGAGCAAATAATAAAATGCTTGATCAATAACATAATATAAATATAGTCATAACTAACRTAGTTCAATGGTAATTAACATATACCTTCACGTAAGAGGTTGTGAGTTCGAATCCTCCCCTTAACATGTTGTATTAAAAAAACATAATATAAATATAACGTAACACACGAGACATATATCATCAACGGGAAAACTTTGATTCAAAACTCTATCTAAAATATTAAAACTATTTGGTTTTCTTTTTTGCGTGTGTATAATTTAGGTACTATTACCAAAGCGAGCATAACTCAGCAGTAATTGACATATATCTCCAATAAATAGGTCGTGAGTTCGATCTCCCGCCCTTATATGTTGTATTAAAAAAAATTATCATTTATTTACAAAGAATTATAATAAAATCAMTCAAATTGTGAATATTATTGTTATTTCTTTAATGTTGTTTGCCATAAATTTGTTGGAATCACAAATATTTACTAAAACTGTCTAGAATACTATTTTAATATTTTATTATATAGGTTCGTAACCTTTCTAATAAAAAATGAGAATGAGATTGATGTTGTTGTATCATATACCGCTGTTTGTTTCGTGGAACCTGAGATTCTCATTTGACAGACATTTGAATTCTCACWTTTTTTTTTTGCGRGAATGTAAGATACCCGGATATCTTGAGATGTCCGGATATCTTATGATGCTCATATGGGGAGGCATCTTACGGGTTTTGGATGCCTTTTTGACACACGGGTTTCCAAGATTCTCGTGTTGAGGATAGCTTYTTTAMATTTTTACTATTCATTTTTTTCTCCATATATTTTCTTTCATCAATTTTATTAATTTTAATRTTTTACCCTTCTTTATTTTAATATTTTAAATTTATAATTAAAATAAATCAATGTAGTCAGCACTAATAAACAAYTTTATGCTATTAAATATATTTGTACATTAGATTTATATGTAAAATAAATTGCAATTAAATTATATAATATCYTCATTTATTTTTAATATTTTGAGAAATTACATTATTAATAATATTTATTATTATAAATATATAATTTAAAGCAACAATATTTTTACGACCAACATACATGTGATGTTGTTCTTTTTTTAAAAAAATATAATGTGATGATAGGATAAATAAATTTCACTGATAGCAGAAATTATATGATTATTTTTCTGGAAAATTATTAAAGTTAAAAATGAAATATATATTAAGTTAATATCAATTAATTTGTTTTACAAAATAACACATAAAAAAATAAAATAAATAAAATTATTTCAAATAAATATATTATATTAAATGAATTTATAAATTATATAAATATTAGTACATTTTTTTAAGATTTCATAAATTTAATACATCTCCAAGAACAAATCTTACAAAACAAAGATGACTATCCAAATACTCTCAGGTATCCTTATAAATTGACCTACGAAACAAACGTGGTTATCTGAAGATGACGAACATCTAAAATTCAAAACATCTGAAATTTCATCATCTACCCSAAAACAAATAGTCCCTAAAATATATAAAATATAATTAATGGGAAACAATGAAGTTAGGTTTATAGTGACATCGGTGTGAACTATTATATGATGGATGTATTAAGTGGGTGGTAAAAAAAACATGTCAAATGGGATGACCACGTCACGTTACTGAATCTCAATTCTCAGACACGAGTCCCCTGTTACCGACAACACACATTGTACTTTTTATTACATCTAGTTAAAAAGAAACACGTGTTGCACGTTATATTTTTATTTTATTTTAATATATATAAAATAAAGTTGGATAAATTTAATTAAATATTATAATCAAGCTACCTAAATAAAATTGATATATTATTATGAGCAAAACATAAAATAAATGTTTTAAATTTGTGTTTCGTTGAGATAATGTGTTGGGAAATTACAAATAACATACGTAATTAGTTAGGTTGAGATGCAGATATCTCRTTTTCAAGATTCAACCCCTCTATGATATATATWTTTTTTTATCAACAATAGGTATTYTCTAATACATCCCATCCAATATACAACAATCCAACTGAAATGTTGTGGAGCTCAAATCATTATACAACTAGATGTTGACTTAATGTTCCCGAGTAAAAAATATTCATCTTTTGACCAATTACTCTTAAAATAACAAAATATAACAAATTGGTAAAGTGGAAAAGGTACMATATATGTTATATCTGTTAAAATTTGTGTTYTGAGAGTTTGAAAATTAGCTGGTAATTTAATATAAAATTAATAAATTTTTAACCTCTCCTTTTCAAATACGGTTTTTCTTTTTTTTCCCCACAATTTGATAAAATATTTCGATCTCTTGACTCTCAAATTAAATAATAAAAGAAAACTCATAAATAATTACTAATCAAATTAAAATATTACAACATATGTACATATGTATTAGAAAAGTGTATAATAAGTTCAGATGGGTATATATTCTAACAATACCATTGAAGTTTGATTAAGTGCTCCTAAAAATTTTTTATTTTTTTTCTTCTTTCAATACTGGTAGRGAAATTAAAAAATAAACAAAAAGCACATTCATATTACATATTCCTTATTTTTGTTTATTTTTTATAGTCACATATGAATGTGCTTTTTGTTTATTTTTTATATGAATGTGCTTTTTTTATAGTCAAACTTACACGTTTTTTGTCTTTTTAATTTATGAATGCATTAATTATTTATTTAAATATATTTATTTTTTAAATATTATTCAACTATTAAAACACTGCAACAATTATAATTATATAATAAAGATAAAGTCATCAAATTTTAAGAATAAATTTGAGAACAATTTTATTWAAACATTTCACATCATTTCTCTTGTTTTTCAGTTCATGCTTGCTCAAACAAATATATGAAAAAGAAAAAAAAAGAGGAAAAATAGAGGARGGATAGCATTGGGAGGGAGGAAGAGAGACATAATTGGTGGAATTTGAGAGAAAGATGAATTACAAACGTGAGATAAAAATAATAGATAAAAACATTAAAATTAAAAAGCAAAATAGGAGATAAAGTTTTTTTTTTTTTTTTCCTTATGCCAATTACCGTTGAGCTATGCTTGCTTTGGCATGAGACAAAGTTTATCCCTAAGAATACACAAGATACATAAATTGCTAAGCTAAAATTTATGATAGAGTGAGAGTCAAACTCAKTACCTTATAATCGGAGTGCCTTAACCAATTCAACTAAGTTCAAGTTCGCATTAAGTCAAACTCACATTATCAATGTTATTTCACTTATTACATAAATTATAGATCTCAATTTACAAGACATGTATAATTGATTCCTAATATCAATATGGAATATTCCATTTATAAATATATTGACATACATTATCCRAAACTTTATCTTAACAGACTTTATTTAAAAATCGGTAAATAAGCAAAATTGATATTGAACATAACAAGTATAAATGGTGAATACATAACCCCTTTAGTTATTTAGTATTATTYTTTTTAGAGCGTGAATCTATGACTTTATGTTAGGAGGAATATATAAAAACAATTCGAAGACATTGATATTTACTTACTTTATATATTTTTAAACTAAGTTGGTTAATTTACAAAGTTGTCCTTATATTTTCTAAAGTTCACAAGTYCACGAGCATATTAAATATAAACTATGAATATTCATGAACCAAATTTATAATTTAATCAATTAAGTTTTCTTTTAACATGAGCATACTAATTGATACATATTATTTCCCAACTAATGTTTTAAAGAAGCCATCAAAATAAGAAAGAGAAATACTTTTTGAATGAAATAAAATCAAAAGAAAATAGGAGCTTTAGCAACAATTTTTTTTGGAGAGAAAAAATGTTTTAACCTTAATTGAAAAAAAGAAGGCAAGTGACCGAACCCGCCGCTGGGTCTCGTCCGGTCGCCGTCTTTGACGGCGGAAGACGACAGAGGAAAACACCACGCAAAAGGAAATCACGTGCCAACTGCCACGTATCGAATCGAACCCCAATTACAACATAATTGGCAATTGGCATCCATCACAACTCGCCCACCAACTCAACTCGACTCGTGGATGGGGAACGTGCTCTCCCTCTCGTTCACCACAGTCCCCTGAAAAAGGAAGAACAAGAAGAAGCAGAAAAAGGCACAAACACAAAARAAGGTGAAAGATTCCTCTGTTTGTTATCATTTCCTTGGAATCAGAACTTTCTGTTCAGTCCCCTGTCCAGATCGTTGGATCTCAATTGCGTCGCCTTGTTCCGGCGCCGATGCGATGAGGCAGACGCTCGACAGGCACCAGAGCTCGTCCTTGAGTTCCTCCGAAGTTGAAGTCAGCATGGAGCAGGATACGAGGAGGGAGAATGGTAGTGATAGTAATGGAATGGCGAGCAGAGAAGTTAGAATTGAAGATAGCCTTGGTCCCGAAAAGAATGGCGGCAATGACTCTCCAGGTTTGTAGGTCATGGCGTTGTGAAAATTGTACTTTGATAGCTTAGTGTCGTTGGCTAATACTCTGCAGATGGATCTCTCGTGTCTCCTTTTTTTTTTGTTTGTTGGTTCGTACTCGATGTACTTCTTAATCCACACCAGTTGTCGACCGTAATCTTGTGAAAAGGTTGAGATTAAGCTCGTTACACTGTTAGTTCATGTTCCGAATCTTGTTGCTGTTGTACTCCGGTTCAGTGGTGTCGGCTCCTGTTGCAATTTCACTTTGATCCACTTTCCAAATTATAATTCAAATGCAGCTATTATATCTTGCTTTGATAATTACGTCATGGAGCTTAGACTGTTGTGATCCATTTGGAAACGAACGAGGATACTGATCATCTATATATCCGTAATATCCTCCATCTATTCGTCGAAGTGCTCCAAATTCCACAATACTTCTGACATTTTATTGAGGAACTTATCTGGTTTTAGTTTATTTGGTAGAGGGGAAGGAAACAGTATTTTGGATCGATTCTGAAGTCAATTAATGRTTCAAATTAATGGTTTTAGGTAGTCAGACGGTCCTGGGACGAATGTAACTTGACTTGCATTGACAGTGTTTCTTAGATCTTTGCCAATTGGGAAGCTTTTTTGTAATTCCCTGGCTTGTGGGAATATCTCATCTCCCACTTTTGTACCTCCCTTTTGATAATGAAAGTTTAGTTTCTATCATTAAAAAAAAAAAACTTGCATTGATATTGGACGATTCATGCAGGTGGAAGAAAGTAGATAGGAAGCTTAGATAAAAGCTAAAATTTACTAATCATGATCCAAACACATCGGATAGTAAGTTGCACTAATACACTTTTGAATTACTTGAACTATCAACATTACTTAAAATGGTTAACCAATGTCTTTAGATGTCATTGAGCTACATATCTTCTTCAACCTAACTTATATATTGTAACCACCATATGTTAGTAGTATCTTCCAAATGCTAGTTTGAATCAGAAGTCAGAGTTGACTTTGTCTACTTAGGAGCATGACTCAATTGACTAGGCTGAGCCATATTGGTGAAAAAATATAATTTCTCATCATTTTTTTACAACACAATGGTGTCACCGGGTCATTGTAAACTTTGCCAAGCTTTGAACCTTGAGTTGTACTATATTATTTCTTTTGTGAGGTATTAATCTTCAAACAAGAAAAWGAATAGGGTATAGGCTTGTCCAAGGTTGTATCACGTTAGGACAATAGACCTCCTCGCATTTCCACTATGGTATGAATGTATGATATTGTCCACTTTGTGCATAAGCCTTTATAGTTTTACTTTGAGTTTCACCAAAAAGGAGACGTTGTCCTCTACTTCTAAACCAATGGATTTTCCCCTTGTTTGGCCAATATAGAACTTTGGTCGCATTGCCAGCCTATCCCTTTTATGCTTCCACCTTGTAGGTTTTTTATGGCATTATTAGATCTTAAACCTCTGTTTATGTCCCAACCCAGACTTCACATGTCAAATCACCACTTGGCGGTATAGAAGTAATTTTGATTTGGTATTTTGTTTTTAAAGTATGGTGCGGGATATACTTTCCTCTCAATATATTTTGTTTTAAAACTTTGTTATTCGATTTTGTTATTTTTATGCACATAACAACTGGTGCTGAGATATATGTAGTTGAAGTTGTGGTCCCTTCAATTCTCAAAAAGAAAAAAAGGTTGGCCTCCTTTATCATATTGTAGATAGATAGCCTGAAATTTTTATTAAGATTTTTTGTGCCCTGTTTCTGTGTACCTTTAATTTATTTTATTTTATTTCAATTTATCACAAATTAGAATTATTATAGATATAAAACACTTGGTATCATTTTATCGATATAGCATCTTCCCCTTCACTTTTTTTCAGATATAATTGGCGGGTCTTACATTTTTTTTTTCTTGACATGTTCATCTAAATACCAACATTATGGGAGAATTATGCTTTCACATTAGTTTTATTTCAAGAATCAAAATTGATAAAACCACTGGGATATATGAATTTTCTTTTAATTCAGGTATCTCCAGCAGGACTCTTTTTAAAGTCAACACCATGCCAATACAGACATCAAGTGTTGACCAGTTGGAATCTGATTCAAGTCAGCATAAATTAGAAAGATCAAAGACTGAGATGCACAAACATAAGTTTCTTGCTGAAGAGGCAGCTAAAATTTTTGATGACAAGATTCCTGTTCATAGGAAGGTATAATACTGCAGAAACAATAACAAATTATTTTGTCTAASATAAGGTACATTGCAGATTACAATTTAGCCCTGTAGGGCTACACCTAGAAGTTTTATGTTGTTCTCTATTTATTCTTCTAATCAGAAGTCTGCAATTGTTTTACTCTAAACATAATTGCATTTAGATAACTCCATTTCAGGTATATTGGAAGATACCTATTTGGTGCAAACGATGAATTTTAATTAATGCTTTATAAATTGGCCACTCCTTGACCACTCCTTGATTATTGAATCAAATGACCTCATCTGGACGCTGAGCATTGCAGTTTAACAATACCTCCTATATTTTGTATATTCTTCTTTTGTCTAGAGAACTCCTAGGGTCACTCTCGAAAGATTAATTTAACTAAAATGATGAAATAGGATAATGTAACTGATCTCGGAAGAACAAATTCTTAGAAATTTTATAATATTCTTCCCAGACAAATAAGCTGAATATTTAAAGGTATTTTTGACAGATTGTACCTGGTATTACTCGTAATTGAACAGTATAGACAATTGCCCCACAGTAAATAAATAGCAGCAAAAAAAATCCAAAAGAAACCTCAAGCCTTTAAAGTTGACTATGATTTACACCAGCCTGCGTCGTATTTTCTCGAATGAAGAAAATGTTAACACTTTTGGGCTAAAGAATACCCTCTTTCACTCTTCATGTGAAACTTTAATCTACATGGTAAGGAATGAAATCAAGATTATATTCATTGTTTCAAACTATGTTTGTTGCTTTATAGGAGTTTACCAATCACGTTAATGTTAGACAGTTAGCTATATACTATGTCTTTGAACTTTTCTGCAAATGTGTTATTTCTTTTCGCATTCATGGTGATGATTCACATTTAAAAATTTTTCTTTATGACATTTTTAACTGGCATGTTTGCAATGAGAAAATGCAGCTTACATTTTTTTCTTTCTACTGGCGACGCCGTGGTGCAGAACCCAGAACGTGTTCCCCCTTTGCTTAAAAATTACTGTAAAATTCCTAGAACAAGGTTTTCTATACTAACTTTTTAAAACCGTACAGCTTAAATTGTTAAACAGAATAGCCACGGTGAAAGACAATGGAACTGTGGAATTTGAAGTCCATGAAGACATTGAACCTCATACTCTTGATGTTGGACCAAAGGAAGCCTATCATGAAACAAATGAAGAAGAACCTCTCGAAGCAACAGACCTCCAGGATATACCACCTCTGCAAATAGTAATGCTTATAGTTGGAACACGTGGAGATGTACAGCCATTTATTGCAATTGGAAAACGTTTACAGGTATGGAACTTTTATGAGTATCTCTTTAATTTTGCTTACTAAACAATTTATTTTTAACGTGTTTGGAGCTCTTCAGTTTATAGTTTTCTCCCAGCGGGGTGTCTGACCTTTAGGTTGTTTCCTTTTGCTGTCTCAAAATATATTTTCCGATTCTTATTAGAAAAAAAAACACATTTGGATCTCATTGGTTAAATGGCATAAAAGCTACTAAAGAAGCAAGAGAACTTTTTGAGGATATATAGAGACTTTGGGTTTGTAGGGAGATATTTGGTTCCCTAATGGCTTGGCTGAATGATTAAGGTGGTAATTTCTTCAAAGAGAAGAAGAAGTATCATTTGGTGTTGCAGTATCATTGGTGTTCTCTTTCTGAGCCATTCTCACGTTATTCACTTTCTCTTATTTTTAACAGTTGTGATGTTTTTATTTGGCCTTGTAATTCAGTTGTTTAGATTCTGTATTTTTATCTTTATGTTTCTTTTTCACTCTTTCGAGAGTTTGTATCCTTGAACAATTATTGTTCATTTTCATCTTTTCAATGAAAAGTTCATATTTGTTCAAAAAAAGAAAAAAAAGTATCTTTGCAATTTTTTAGCAGGTGTTAAGGAAATAGACAACCTAAGGGCAGAGGGTTGAGATCACCCTCCCCGGGAAACTAAACGATAGCAACCTTCCAATTTCTAACTATCAAGTATAGGTTATAATTACAAAAGAATTTCATGTGGTTTATAGACCACCACGAAGCAATATGCTATACATTGCTATAAAAAACATCCTCCAAGGACCTTTTATCTAAAAAACCTACTGTTACTTTCTCTCCAAATGAGCCATAATGCTCGCAGCACAATTCCGCTAAACAAAAGCCTTGCCTTTAAGAAGGCCTCCCCAAAATTTTCGAGGATCAAGTTATCAATCTTACGTGTGGGACAAAAAGATAACCTGAACTTGGTACATACAAAAAGCCCAMACCTTGGCCACAAAAGCCTTCTTTATCTATTTCTTATTGAATTACCCTATTTCTACAACCATAGTCAATTTGACAGTCTATTTGTAACTCCTTGGCATTTTTGAGGCTTTGTTATGTATTTCATGAAATTCGTTTTCCTGTTAAAAATGATAGAAAAAACACTTTGTCTACCCTGAAAATCCGGTTTGGAAGATATTAAGCTTGGGTTGTCCAAGAGTCATTCTAAGGATAGTGAAATACTTTGTCCACCCTCTATTGCCTTAGATAAGGAAGCTCTTCTGCATTATTTTGAAGAAATTGGATTTAATCTTTGTGAAATAAAGCCGAAGGGTTCACGTTAGTTTTCGAGGAGATCTCTTTGTGGATTCTCATGTTGCTCTACTTTGCTTTGGTGGTGTTGGTAGGCTGACATTTTTACTTTGGATCTTGTTATAGGCTGAAATTTGTGAAGTTTTGATGGCTGTGGTTTTTCTTGGTTCTTTGATTTTAGCTGGTTTTTGTTCAGAGCCAGTGGTTGACATCTTTTAGTTTGGTGCCGTAGGTTTGATTGGAAACTTGTTAGGTTTGAAGAGCTTGTTTTGCTATGTTTTGTTATTTTGTTTGGTTGTATTGTTTTTTTCTTTTCACTCTCTGTGGGAGTTTGTATCTTCCAACATTTTTATTCTTTTCATCCATCCATGAAAATTTTGTTTCTTGTTAAAAAATGATAGAAAAAACATGCAATCAAATATTATTATAATTTTTATTTAATATATCTGAGGTAATAATTATTCTCATGTGTGTTTACAATGTTTGCAGGATTATGGTCATCGTGTTAGACTTGCTACTCATTCAAATTTCAAGGAGTTTGTTTTAACTGCTGGGCTGGAGTTTTATCCACTTGGTGGAGATCCGAAGATTCTTGCGAGCTGTAAGTTCACCATAAACATTCTACCTTGTGCTTTAGTGTCTTCCTGAGCTCAAGCACGTTAAAAGTAGAGGTCAGAGAAACTATTTTGGTACAATACTTTAATCAGCAGTTGCTTAATATAGTGCCTATGGAACATCTGGAGATCCCACAACTTCCTCATTCTTTCTTTTCTTCTTCTTTCTGTCCCCTCAAAATCTCCTAACGAGAAACAATTTCTGTTAATCTCATGTTAACCTTGTCAAGGCCAAGTTCGAACTTGCTTTATTTATTTTTATTGAAATTAATTCTTGATTATGCCCGAGTTGGTAGCAAGCAATGCTCCATTTCTTATGTATGATATTTCTCGAGGAAGAAAACATTATTGAAATAAGGGACATGTACTTGTGCTTTAGAATCATGTACGGAAAATGAAGAGATCAAATAAATGAGGAAAAAAGTAACATAAATGAAAAGAGAATCAGATTCTATTTGTAATGKATCAAAATTTTTTTGATTGCATGCTAGTGATCTCCCATTTTTACTTATATTTCTTTTGTCAGGAATTTTCACTTGTACCTGATAGAGGAAATTTGTTTCTCCTCTCTTTATGAGACCTTCCATTTTTATCTTTTATTGCTGGGAAGATATTAATTATGGTTCTCTCCCCTTGCAATTTTTATTTTAATTTCAATTGTTATCTTCCCAGCTCATGTTTGATTCATCATTAGATTTATGAATCTTAGTGCCCCGTGCAAGTCTATGAACAACTCTTTATTTGTACGTGGCTTGTTCAAAGCTAAGTGTTTCTTTTACTGTCACGAGCTGCCTTTTCTTCTGAGTTTAGGTATAATATGATGACAAATATTCTGCCAACCGTCCGATGATCTAATCATTCAAATGATTGAATATTTATCTGATTTACTTATTAACTTCTGTTAGAGAATTTAGACAATTGTTTTTCATTTATTGTTTTGTGAGCAATTTATTACCCTTATGCAACAGACATGGTGAAAAACAAGGGTTTCTTGCCCTCGGGGCCTTCTGAGATACCCATTCAAAGGAATCAAATGAAAGAAATCATTTATTCGTTACTTCCAGCTTGCAAAGAACCTGATATTGATTCTGGCATTGCCTTTGAAGCTGATGCTATCATTGCCAACCCACCAGCTTATGGTAAGACCCTCCCACTAAATATATATATACGCCCTTTTTTCTCTCCTAAGAAACATGAACTTTTACATCTGAAAGTTACAAAGTAAACCATTGTCCTTTAGAAGGAACAACAAAGAACAATGTTACCGCCTTCTGTAAGAGATAAAACCTCTCTCAGGTTTCATTTTGTTATTCTACTATGCTTTTGCTTAATATTTGTGGAAAGCATTAGTTCTCTTTACTTCTCCACTTTTTTCAGTCTTTCTCATCCTGGGCAGAGGGTTCTTGGAATGAGGTTGTAAGACGGTGGCACATTTTTCCATTGTCATCTAAGCTCATTTAAATTCTCGTGTGACAATCTAATTTGTTATTTTGTGAAGAAACTCTTTACAATTACCTCTTCAATGCTTCTATAGGACATACCCATGTGGCAGAGGCACTTAACATTCCAATTCACATTTTTTTTACAATGCCATGGACGTAAGTTTGCCCTAGACAACGTACTTTTGTTTTTCTTTTTTGACGGAGATACTATTACTGAGTTATATTGTATGAATACTACATTTGTGCCATGTGCTCTGTGAGAAAGTTTGAAACATGTATTATTTCCTCCTCTTACCAGGCCAACAAGTGAATTTCCTCATCCTTTATCCCGTGTCAAGCAACAGGCTGGCTATCGGGTAATTCTATCACGGCTGCCTTCTGCCTTTTCACACACACACACACACATCATGTTGACTTATTTTTTCACCTTCACCAAATTTAGTCAAATCTAGTTTGACCTTTGACTCTTTGTAATTTCCAGCTCTCATATCAAATTGTAGACTCCTTAATTTGGCTTGGGATACGGGACATGATTAATGATCTTAGGAAGAAAAGGTTGAGGCTACGACCTGTCACTTATTTAAGTGGCTCTCATGCCTCTGAATCAAATGTGCCACATGGATATATATGGAGCCCGCATCTTGTTCCTAAACCAAAAGGTTCATTCTTGAAATTATTAATTGTTATTGTACTGTAAAGCATTATTAACAAGTTACTCTTTAAGAAATTTACCGTGTTGTTTCATAATATAAAACAGCATGCTTGCAGGATCTGTAATTTTTTCATTTGGAAAAGAATATAGAATGTGTCATTCTTGATCATTAGCACATAGAATCTTATGGTTCTAGCTTTAAAACTTGGGTTTTTTCAGATTGGGGGTCTAAGGTGGACGTGGTCGGATTTTGCTTCCTTGATCTTGCATCAAATTATGAACCTCCTGAGACGCTTGTAAATTGGCTTCAGGCTGGTGACAAGCCTATTTATATTGGTTTTGGTAGCCTTGTGAGTGTTTCATATTACTCCCTCCATTCAATTTGATATTTCAGTTTTTAAAAGTTTCTCCTTTCTCTGCATTGAAAGCCTGGCTCCTCTTTTCTGGGGTGGGTATGAAAGAGGTTGTATATTTTTAATTTTAGTTTATTTTGCTATGGAATGAAACTCTTTTTTTTTTCCTTCCTTTTGGTTTAGAAACCTTAGATATATAAAACAAAAGAGCAAAACAGCCTAAGGGCAGGGGGAAGAGAGATCCCCTCCCAATTACTTAAGAATGAAACTTTCATTAAGAAATTAATTGAACAAAGTTCAAATAGATATCCTTCCATGTGATGTCGTGGAATTGGCACAATGGGTAAAAAATAGTGGTGAAGATGTAAATCGTTTATTCATCTGGTTCCCTCTTCTTGGAAGATGCCTTTATTCCTTTCAAGCCAAATGTCCACATTATAGCAAGAGAACCATTTAGTTATAGAACTTTAGTCTTCTCTTTTTTGAATAAGAGACAATTCATTGAACAAGAACCAAAAGAAACAGCCTAATGATGGGGGCTGAGACAACCTCCTCCCAAAAAGAGAAAAAACGAGAACTAAACGAGAAAGAGCTTTAGACTTCTCAATAAATGAATGGCCTAAAAATATTTGAATGAAGAATTCTTTTAGATTTTATCATTTTACGGAAAGACCCAATTGATGTTAAGCCTTGATCACTTAAAATGAGAAGGGGCACTGGAGAAACAAGAACTTGATACATTCATTGGTACCCTTTCACATATTGCACCACCATACGAGTAGAACTAAGAAAAACTTGGACTCCTAGACTGTATTTTATCATTAGTGTTAATCTGTTAGGCCCCCGATCGTAAAAACTCAGTAGAAAGGGTAAAGAAGTAATTGGGTAGACATAGGCCAAAACAGCCCAGAGAGAGAAATGCTTAGATAGGGGCAGGGGAGTGTGTCCTTTTAAGGGGGAAGGAATGTCGTTGTGGATCATCTTCTCCTCCTCCATCAGTTTCTGAATCTCGAAGTAGCGTTCAGCGCTGAATATCCACGCTTCGAGTTCTTCTCCTCCGAAAATAGGCATTTCTACCTTTTTGAAACGGTTCCTGTCATTCCTTTGGTTTCCATTATTGTTCTCGGCCACTTCTCCTGTGGTTGCCTTCCCTTTCAATGTCGAGGTCTCTCTTGTTACTGACGAAATAGGACGGGGACTCCTGCCGATTATCTCAGCCATGAACGCTTTAAGCGTTACGTGAATATTTTCACTCAGCTTCTGTTGCTCATCGAGCTTCAGGTGTATTGCCGTGATTTCTTACTTCACACCGGCGATTTCCTTTTCTACTATTTCACACCTAGTTTCTAGTTCTTTCACCGTCATTTTGATGGCGATCCTCCCAGCACCGAACTGCTTTGATACCAAGATGTGAGGTATCATCTTACTATTCATTGATTCAGATAAAAACAGAGTCGAAGGCTTTACAAAAGATGCCCTAAGGCAATACAAAAGCTACCCACCAATTCGAAAGGGTGGGGAATCTCTCCCAAACGCTAA